ACACACACACACACACACACACATATATATATATATATATATATCACGGGTTAATGTAATTACGTTATTTGTAATTATTTGTAATTTACATTATTTGTCATTATTAACCCCTGATATATATATATATATATATATATATGCGCACGCGTGTATGTGTGTATGTGTGTGTGCGCGCGCGCGCGTGCGTGCGTGCACGCGTAGGACCACCCTAATATTTATAAGGCGTCAAGCACACTCGGTACACTGGTCTCTAGGTTATCCATCGGCTCGAGATGCCACACTCTGGTGACGAGATGCATCACTCGGGTTGGGATGCTTGCAGCAGTTGCTATGACGATCCGAAAGTGACAAGAAGCAAATTGATATTGCCGTGTCTTGGAAGCAGCAGAATTTACGTCGTCGATGTCGGCGAAAATGAACGAGCGCCGAAATTGCACAAGGTGACCCGATGAATATGTATTCGTTGCTAATTAATCGACCCGTGATAAAATATTATAAAAATATTAAAACGTATTTACATTTTGTTTATTCTTGCGTAAAATATGGCTACGGCTTTCTATAAAAACGTTCCACCATCTAACGAAATTTATATTACAAAATAATGAGAAATTGATCTGCGAACTAGCCAAGATGCTGGTTCTTCATTGAGTGATGTGTTGTTGGGTTAGGATATGTGTTTGTTTTAGGTTGTTGAAGCAGAAGACTATGAATCGCTAGACATGACTGTCCCTCACACCTCACACTGCCTCGCTAATGGAGAGGTCATGATCAGCACGCTGGGCGATAGCAAAGAAAATGGCAAAGGTTATACAGTTAATAACAGACAGAGTCCTCTTGTTAGAGTTCCCCGCACGCGAAATTCTTTTTCTTCTTTTTTTATTATTTTTATTATTATATGTATCAGGTACATGTACAGTACCATCATTTAATTCTTTTTCTAGTACTAGTATCTCAAGCAAAGCTAAAAATAATATTTTATTTGCATCCTTACAAGAATATACAGGGTGTCCCAAAAAAATTGTCCCATCACATTTAGAATATCCACAGTAGGTAGATGAGAAATGGTCAAGGTTACTTGCTCCGGTCAACTGAACATGGTTACAAGCAAGGAAATGTCAAATGTAGCAGCTCGAGCCACAGCCAGCCGACACAGAGATAGCCTACTAATACACGTAATTAGGCAATTTTTGTACAAAAGTATCAGTTAAGATTCGGCTTTAAGCCGCACATTTCCAGTTTCTATAACTGTCCCAACCACACACCAACTGGGGTTTGTTCACCAACTTGCCCCTCCCGACTCACAATTGTAGATGAGAATGTACACTGTACTGCCCGAAAGGTTCAGGGAAAAAATTTCGCTGCCCGCACGCACGGTACAATTGCCTTCGTGCAAGAGGTATGCTTGTCTTATTCAATTGCCCTGTCCGACTCAGCGAGGTAATGATCCTTTATGTATATCGTTTCTAGCTTGTGCAAACTAGACCAGCTTCTACGTGTTTTTCACGCGTGACCGCTAAATTGGCGGTTCTACGGCACTTCGTTACTAAGCAGCCTTTTTAGAACACCTTTATCTCAACGTTGGTTAGCTAGAACTACCTGGCAATACCTGATACTAGCAATACTGGATCGGTCAATTATTGTCGCAGTGGTTCAACAATTACTCTATCTCGTAAAATATCTGTACTGAGACAAGCGTGACCCACAAGATTGCACTAAAAGACGTATTGAGATTATCGGCGGATCCAGTAATAGGCTAACGGGGGCAGAAGTCATGGGGCAAAAACCATCAACGAGAGAGCGAGAGAGAGAGAGAGAGAGAGAGAGAGAGAGAGAGAGAGAGAGAGAGAGAGAGAGAGAGAGAGAGAGAGAGAGAGAGAGAGAGAGAGAGAGAGAGAGAGAGAGAGAGAGAGAGAGAGAGAGAGAGAGAGAGAGAGAGAGAGAGAGAGAGAGAGAGAGAGAGAGAGAGAGAGAGAGAGAGAGAGAGAGAGAGAGAAAGAGAGAGACAGAGAGAGGGAGGGAGGGAGAGAGAGTGTGAGAGAGAGAGAGAGAGAGAGAGAGAGAGAGAGAGCTAGGGCTAGGGCTAGGAGAGCGCTGTAAGCTCCATAGCAACGTAAAGTCGCGCATTCTGGTGCACGCTTCCTACGACAACTTCTTCCCTTTACTTTTAGTGAACGCTAAACTTAATAAACAATTAATAAAACGGAGCTTTGAAGCACTCATATATGATTTTCTCGCGTTTTTTCACTCGTTTTTTTAAAATAAGGAATTGATTCTTGAACGAAGCGGGGGCATAACCCTGATGGCCCCCTAGCTAGGTTTGCCTGTGACCGGGATTATAGTTGTCGCAGATCATTTGTTAATGACCTATAGCGGTTTTAACACTAACAAATTACATTGGCAGGTGGTTTCGTTCTTCTCGATGGAAAGACATTCACCGTAAAGGGCAAGTGGCAAAAAGATGACGTTCCGTTCGGCTACGACTTCTGGTATCAGCCGCGTCATAACATCATGGTATCGTCAGAGTGGGGTTCCCCGCGCGCCTTCAAAAGCGGGTTCAACCCCGAACACCTCAAGAATGGTAGGCATAGAGTCTCGCGTGCTGCGGTATCAAACAAAGGTGTTCCCCAGATTACCCTACTCCAAGAACTGCCCGGCTTCCTACCCTTGCCCTAAGTCGTTACAATTTACACCAAAGAGAGTGCGTAAGCCACACAGGAAGCAGTGCTGATTGACTTAATTGTTCTTCGTTGTTTGTCTAGGTAGTTAACCCCACCAGATACTCATTAGCCGAGTACGTGGTGGAACACACTACTTTTTAATGCCAGTGGTCTATCAAGCCGTGTACCACTGCGTAGTGCCACGAGTGTGACAGTGTATGACGTTGTATTACATTTCATTTCGTGAAGGTGACAATGTATCAAATAAAAAATGATTGTACTACCCCACGTAGTTTAAACAATAGAAATCATATAATATACAAACAGGATAATACACAATAATGATAGTAATAGTAGTAACAACATATACATCTAATCAGGAGTGAATGATAGAGATCTCTATTATTCATTCCTGATTTAATAGTATGTAGATAATTATATAAATATATGTTATACAATATATGTTTGAACACCCATCTCTTTTACCTATTAGGGGAATATCGTATGGTATGCGTATTATTTTGATCAGGCCTTTACGGAACGCATCTGAACTTCTGGAATTGGAACGAGAAGACACTGATAAAGCGGATCGACATGGGTAGTGATGGTATCATGCCGTTAGAAGTGCGATTCCTTCACGATCCTGACGTACCTATCGGTTACGTGGGCTGTGCCTATAGCTCCACGGTCATACGGTTCTACAAAACGAACGTAAGCTCATTCAGACCTCTCGGGGGTATGTTCATCATATTTCGCGGTGATACTAGAAGTTATATTATTCTACGACAAAATCCACGTAATTCCTGTTAGCCAACGTTTTGACCAGTTTTCGAAACTGTTGCCAACAGGTTAATTAGGTGGATTATTAATGGAATAAACCCTCCCATAGCATTTATATATCGTTTAATAATAGGCTACCGTAAATATATATATATATATAT